CCAATGGCCTCTTCTGGCCTCTTGGGGTGCAAAGCCTCAGATTCTTTCCATGACTCCCTTCAATCCCGGGGTCTTCGCTGCAACTGAAGCTGCACTTTCACCTATGGCCTTTCCTGGCCTCTCATAGTGCCAAGCCTCAGCTGCTCTCTGTGACCCCTTCACACTTTCAACACCAGAACTGTGCAGGAGACTCTTACACATTACCAAGTCCTGCTTCCAGCTTGAAATAGAGGTGGGAGTCCCCTCTGTGTGCTGACCCTGAGGAAATACCTCCCAGAAGACTCCACCACAGTGATGCTGGCATCTTGTTACTTACAGCTGAGTTTTCAGCCCCAGCTAACCAGCATCAATTGTCCCAGGAAAGCAAAGGTTTTGCTTTAGGTTCTGGTCTCTTCTTAATCACAGCTGACTCTTCGGCCCCAGCTGACCAGAACCCACAGATTCTCAATTCAAAATATTACAGGAACAGCCCTGATAGTCTCTGCTTCCCTTTGAAGCTTCACAAGCCAGGCCTCCATCGTCTACAACTCTTTCAGCATAACTGTTCCAAGTTCTACAGCAACAAACTCTGAGCACCCAATGACTTTTCCAGCCCAAAGTTCCAAAAGCTTCCACAATCCTCCTTATAACACCAAGGTCGGGTCTGTCACAGCAATATCCCACTCTCTGGTACCAGTTTCTGTCCTAGTTTGTTGCTCCATTACTATGACAAAACACTCTGACCACTACCAATTTAGGGAAGAAAGGGTTTATTTATCTTACATCTCCCAAGTCACAAGTCATCAGGGAGCCCAAGGTAGGAACTCAGGGCAAGAACCTGGAGGCAGGAGCTGGAGCACAGGCCATGGAGTAACTCTGCTTAGTGGCTTGCTCCCTGGCCCCTACTCAGCTTGCTCTCTTATCCAACACAGGCCCACCAGTCCAGGGATGGCACTACCCACAGTGGGCTGGGCCCTCCCACATCACTCAACAATCAAGAAAATGCCTCACAGACATGGCAACAGGCCAGTCCAATGGAGGAAATTCCCCAATTGAGATTCCTTCAACCCAGGTGTGTCAAGTTGACACTAAAGCTGTCCAGCACACTGGGGCTGGAATGGTTAAGAGCACTGGTTGCTCTTGCAGAGGACCCAGGTTCGGTTCCCAGCACCCACATGGCAGCTAACTACCATCCATAACTCCAGTTCCAGGGGATCTGACACCCTCTTCTGACCTCCGTGGGCATTGCACGACACAGGTGCACTTACATTCGCGCAAACAATACACTCATACACATAAACTAAAAATAAATAAAACATTTATAGTTTTAGAAGTCACCATGGGAAGAGTGTAGCGCTGAATGTGTGCATTTTTTCCACAGTCCAAAAATCACAGAATTCTAAGGTTGTCAAGCCTAGTTGAGAAACATGTCCAGTGAGACTCGGTGTCCTGCCTCCTGGAACAGCTGTGCTCTATGCACTGGACTGGAAGCTCCTTGCTCCCATTGTAGCATTTTACTATTCCTAGACATATAGAGCCATAATAAATGAATGGAGCAAAGTATGGAAGTTCAGCTGCCTCCTCTGACCTCCACAGGCATTGCAGGACACAGATGTACTCACACACATGCAGGCAATACACTCATACACATAAAAATAATAAATAAAATAGTCAAGAAATGAACAACCCAACCAACGAAGAAGACAAATGCAAGACTTACAAAGGAGGAAAATAAGAAATGCAAACCTGTGATGTTTGTGGAACGGACACAACCTCACAGAACCTCAACTATTTGAAAACATAAACTGCATTTTCCTCTAAGCAGCTACACCGTCAAGCTTTTTGTGAAGAGAACAGGTGTGCCCTAAAGAATGTCTAAAGACACAACAGAAAAGGAAGCTAAACTTGGACCTTGGATGTTCAGAACTGTAAATTTTGAAAATTAGAAATATTTTGGCTTTTGTTCCCTTTTTTGTACTTGCCTTTTCAGTTTAGAAATAAAGTTATTAGAAGGGGATGCATCAGAAGTGGACACAGACCATGTATAAAAGCTAGGCTAACAGCATACAAAGCTAAAAAGAAATTAGAAGATATACAAAGAGTAAAAGAATGAAGGAACAATCCCTTCCCAAGTCAACAGGAAAAGACCCATCATAAAAGAGGCAGGCAGCCTGAGACCTAATTACATTTCAAAGTATGACAATTCCACAAAAGACACAAAGCATCCTGTTCAACAGTATGCCTACCAGATGGCATCTCTAAATATAGCAACAAAAAACTTTGTTGTTCCATAAATAAAGATGAAAGGAATAACAACAATGGTCCACCACTCAAATCGAAGAAAACAAAGGAGGTTTGGAAGAATCTGGTTCAATGGAATAGTGACAATGAATCTGAGACAGGTCAAGTTCCAGGTGAAAAGCCAAATCCTAGCTGGAAGGTAGGAATCCACTCCCCTCTTCTACCTGTTTTGATTGATGTTCATTCACTTGTAAGAACAGACTAGGCACTAACAGCAAGCCACGTGAGGAAAGTCAAAGAAACTGGAGTTCTAATGGGCCACGATTCTAAAAGGCTACAGTTTGGACTCCGGAAGGTTGGTTAAAAAATACATAGTTGGTGTTCTAGTTTGATTTCTGTTGCTGTGATAAAACACTCTAGCCAAAAACAACTTAGGAGAGGAAATGATTTATTTTGGCTTACACTTCAGGTCACAGTCCAGCACTAAAGAAAGTCAGGGCAGGACCTCAGTCAGGAACTTGAAGCAGAAACTGTGGAGGAATGCTTCTTGGGGTCTTACTCACAGGTTGTGATTAGCTAGACTTCTTATACAGCCCAGGACCACTGCCCAGGAAATGGTGTATCCCACAGTGGGCTGGGCCCTCCTATATCAATTAACAATCAAAACAATCTCCCACAGGTATGTCCACAGACTCATCTCATCTAGATAATCCTCAGCCGAAGTTCCTTCATCCCAGGTGACTCTTGGTTGTGTCAAGTTGACAGTAAAAAGTAGCTAGGACAGTTGGGATATGCCCTGGCTTTACTTTGTGGGTCAGGTTGTGATTAACAATTAAGAACCTAGACTCTGGGGTCACACACAGTATGTTAGTCAGGCTCTACACGTGACTGGCTAGCTAGTCTTGAGACAAGTTCCTTATCCAGTGTGCTAAGGAAGGCAGGTCTAGAATCCTGCCTTCTATCAGGGTACAGCACATCACAGCCTGAGCCCCTCAAAGACTTTACTCTGGGAAAGCTCAGCTGCAGATCTATGAGCTCTAGAGAAATTACCTAGGGTCACTGACATATCTCAGTGGATAAAGGCTCTTTTGCCATCAAACCCGAGGGCCTGAGTTTGATCCCCCGAACCCCTATGGTGGAAGGAGAGAACTGTCCTAAAAGTTGTCTTCTGACCTCCACACATGTATTGTGGCACACATGTGCAGCCTCATGTACGTACACACACACACACACACACACACACACCACATATCTAAATAAATATAGAAAAATATTCTAAAGAAAATAGAACTGACTGGGTTTCTTTTTAATCTAGCTAGTTCATGTGATGTAGAACAAACCCCATTAACAGCATTAGTACAGAACTGTGAAAGCATGAAGCCTCTCCTAACAACTAAGAATTGCTGGTGAGCAGTTTAGTCACTCAGGGCAGAGTGAATACTTAAAACAAGTAAGACAATATGTAGTTCCTTAAATGCTCTGGATATTAACATGAAGGAAAGGTTGGTTGTTAAAACACTTGAACTTCTGATAGGTTGTTCAATTTTACATGAGGAAAGAGCCACTTGCTGAGGCTACAGTCCTATTAGTAAAAGTTACTTATGTTTGGTCCTCTATGCAAGAAATAAGTTCATTTTTTTTTCTGGTATCACAATTTTGGTGGAATGTACACAAAATAAAATTTATTATTTTAACCATTTTTAAACATACAGTTCCATGGTATTAAGTATATCAATAATAACCACTGTCCAGAAAACTGTCACTATCCCAAACAGAACTTTGTGCTGATTTAATAATGTCTTTCCACTGCCATCTGTTTCTGTGGTGCCTTTATGAATCTGCTCATTCTACAAAGGGCAAATGGACGGAGACAGTCAACGTTTGTCCTTCTAATCTGGCTCATTTAATCAGCACAGCGTTTTCAAGGCCAGTCTATGCTATCCATGAATCTGAGCTGCCTCCATGTCAAGGTGAATACTCACTCATGAATTCCTTTGTTGATGGGTGCTGACACAGTTTCATCTTTTGCCTAGCCTCAGAGTCCCTGTGTCATTTCTTTTAGGATGTGCCTGGGAATAGAATTGGTGGATCATAAAATTCTACATTTAATCCCACATTCCTTCCCACTTCCATCAGCCGTGTACAACGAGCCCAGCTCCTACACCGCTTCACCAAGATTTATGTCCCACATTTTTATCACAGGTATCCTACAGACTATGAAGCTCTAGCTCATTAAATTAGATCTGTTAACTATTTAAGGAAAAAGAAAACACAAAAAGAAATTATTATATGCTTTGTTTACTCTATATGCAAAAAAGCTAGGAACATCTGTTGTGAGCCCCAAAGTGGATGGTTATAAAAAAATGTGATTATAACTGTTAAATTTCAAATGCTGTAATACTTCTCCAACGGGGATACAGCGAGTTTTCAAATTTCAGTTTCAAACCTGCAGCATATCCTCAGGATAGCTTGTTCATCAAAGGCGATGGACTTGGCAGGCAGGATGCCATTCTGCGCACACCTGAGCTCAGGGTAACCCCACATCGAAAGGCTTACAGGCCCCGCCGCGCATGCGCACCCCCAGGCGGCCCCAGCGCAGCGCCTGCGTGCGCATCCCCGCGACGTCTGGAGGCGGGGCTGGTGTCTGGGCCTCTGAGTTCCGCCATGGCTGCAGCTGCCGGCTCTGCGCGCTTACGGCGCTGTGTGGTGTCGCCGGCTGGGAGGCACAGCGCCTCGCTGATCTTCCTGCACGGCTCAGGTGCACGGCCGTCTCTGGTCCCCGTCCCGCTTGCTGCATCCGCAGGAGCGTCCTCCTCTCTCCCCTGGCCCCTCCAGAGCTCCCCAGTGCAGAAGGCCCCCTGCGCCGGGGTGGGGAGGGCAGCTGTCGCCTCCCGGGCCTCCCTGGAGCTCTTCCTCTTCCTCTGTGGTCATCACTGCCACCTTCTGGCGTCCCTCCATTGTGTCCTTGACCCCTCCACCCCCTGCAGCTGGGTGCCCAGGGCGGCCCTTTCCACCCCACTCCTCTCCCCAAGTTAGCGGGTAAGTCTCCTCCAGACACATGGATCGACCAGTTTCCAGGTCATGGCCCTTGCCTGCCTTCACCTGTGTCATAGACAGTTGACCTTCTTTGGATGAGTTTACGGGGGGAGGGGGCGTCTCCTATTTGGCACTGCGCAGGAGCTCCGGGGCACCTGCCACCTCACCTCTTTATGTGCTGCCATCTTAATCCTCGTTTCCCTTTTCACTAAATTTCTGTGGTAAGAACAAAGTCAGCTTAGTCCCGGGCTCGGGGACTGCTTCCTAACCCCTCATTCTGTGGATCGCTGTTCTCATCTGTAATTACTTTCCCCTGAGTGCCTTGTGAGCACCCTTACGAGAGTACCCTTGTTTTAATTCTTGCATCCACAGTGCTTGGCTGGCCCAGGGTAAGTTCTCAAGAAGACAAAACAAAAATCTTCTTCCTTTTTTTTTTTTAAAGAAATGATATCCAGCCCATGTCCTCAGGGGGCCTACCTAAATTTAAAAGGAAAAACAAGTCAATTAATTAGAGTCATGAGAGCACAGGACATCACAAGATGGTGCATGACTTACTGCCTAGAGAAAAGTAAGGGAAGAAAAAAACATTGTGGTTAGACATTATTAAGGCATTTGGAAAGTGAAGAGCTGGTCAGATTTTTCCAAGAAAGTGGTATTTGAGCTGAGACTTGTGTAGGCTAAACATGGAAGGGACTGGAAAGATACAGCATTCAGAGCCACAATGGGAGATAATGCTCCTCATTTGGAAAAGGAGGCAAGATGAATGCAACAGCCTGTCCAAGTTCACTTGCTATTACTGTGGGGCCAGGGAAGCTGGAATTTGAACCTACATTTCTCTGACTCCAGTTTCTGGGTGGGAAGGGGAGGAAGACGCTGAGACCCTGAACTGCAATACATCATTTTGGAAAAAGGGTCATGATGCTTAAAGGGAAGGACTGATGGATTATATTTAGAAGGAAGGCTGTGTAAATGGCTGCAGTACATCATAAAGAGGCAAACTAGTGGGACTATTCAGAGGATCCCAGGAGTGTTCACTGATAAAAGTAATTCTGTAGTTGTACTATAGTTTTGGAATAAAGTGCTTTTAAAACACTAAAACTTGGGGCTTGCAGAGATGACTCAGCAGTTAAGAGCACTGGCTGCTCTTGCAGGGGATGTGGGTTTGGTTCCCAGCACCCACATGACAGCTAACAATCCTCCGTTAACTCCAGTTGCAGGGCATCCAGCACCCTCTTCTGATCTCGGCAGGCATTGCACAACAGAGGTGCACTTACACACATACTGGCAATACACATAAAAATAAATTTTAAAAATATTAAAAAAGTACTGTTAGAGGAATCAAAGTAAATCGTAGCTTCATCAACTTGGTTCAGTCTTCCAGATTAACTCACTTGGTTGTTTTTCTCTTGGGGACACTAGTCTTAGTCCAGGATGTATGCCTTGTACTCACCTCAGTTAATGTCTAGCTTGTGAGGCTCATCACAGCCCACACCACATGTGTCTTGTTAGTAGTTTTTCTCCCTATGTATTTTCTTCAAGAGATGACTAAGTTGCATTTTCTTGATGTCACAAGTAACCTGTGTCACTAAACATAGTGGACATTTTCAAACTTCCCCTTACTTGAACTGTTCTGCTAGATCCTTTAGGTTTCTTTTGTTTGTGGCAGGGCAGGGATCGGCTGTTTGAGACAGGCTCATTCTGTAGCTCAAGCTGGTTTCGAACTTTCTGCTTCAGCCTCCTAAGTACTGGGGTTCCAGGTATGAGGCAGTGTACCTGACTCCTGATTTCTTTTGCAAAGCCTTCCTCCTCTACCTGACCATTAATGGTGGGGTTCCTCAAAAGTTAGTCTTAGGTCTTCTCACTAAATTTTTACCCCCAAGGTGTAGTCTGAAGCCCATAACTTTGTTTTTACCTATAAAAATGTCTGCCTCCATTTTAGACCTCCTTTGAGCTCTAGACCTGTTCATCCAGTTATCCAATAGCATTTATTCATTAATCTTTTCATTCAAGAAATGTATCGCTTGGCCACTGTGTTCAAGGGACTAACTGTTCTCAGCTCTGAGCATGTGGCAATGAACGAAACACAAAATCTCAGCTTTCGTGAGCTTACATGATAATGGAAGAGATAAATACTATCGTAGATCGTACTGAAGGCCCATGAGGCAGTTAAATTCAAAGAGGTATAGAAAGTATTAAACTGACATTTTGAATAGATGATGAGGGTAGGCCTCATAGGATAATCGCTCAAGCGGCTGGACTTAGGGGAGGGCATTGCGTCTGTACCGGGTTGAACTGTTCTAAGGGAAACAGGCTGAGTTAGGTTTTGGGCTAGTGTTCATTGGAGAAGAAGAGGTAGACAAGATGGACACAGCATAGAGGCATCCAGCTCTGCAGAGCAAGGGTTCATAGGCTCTGCTTCCAGTCACATAAGCCTGTTAGGATTGGGGAAACAAAATTTCATTCATTTTCCCTTTTTCTTTTTTTCTTTTCTCTGTGTTTTCTAATGACTTGTTAAAACTGAAAAATTCATTCTTAGCTCATGGTCCGTAAAGACTGTAGGCTGGACTTTTGTCCTCCTCCAGGTTGGCTGGACTTCAGTGAAGTATCCACCAGTGACCCATGACCCCTCATAGCTAATCTATTGCCAATTCCTTTTGTGTCACACAAAATATCTTTTGATTTTTCTCTGCATGAATACTGCCCTAATCTAAGCATCTGCAACCTGAAGTCTCTTTACTGAACCTCTGTTGCAACTCCCCCCATCTTCACACAAATTCAGAATGTTCTTTTAGAATCCTGCCACCCTGTGCTTAAGTGGCAGGCTTGTCTACAGACCCTTGGGTTCCTAGTTACTAGTTTACCTTCTCATTCTCCCCTCGTAGGATTTAGGTCTTACCACCCTGCTCCTTTCTTGGTCCAGCATTTGCTTACCTCTGCCTTGGTTGATCTTTGCTTGTTTCTGCACATCACTTCTCACCCCTTGTAGATTTTACCTCAAAGCCTTCAATTACTCTATCAGATACCCAGCCTGGGTTGGAGCCTTTGTGTGTGGGTGGTATACAAACAACTTAGTGGCTACAGCCAACAGAAGCTTGCCTTGAGAGCTTTCACTCTAGTGTTCTGGAACTTGTTAGCTAGATCCATTCTGAACATAATGAACCCTTACAGCACCAACTGCTTCCTCTTCAGTGGTTACATTTGTCTTTCACATTTGTCTTGTGGTTACCTGACTAATGCCTGTTTGTCACAATGAACTAATATTCCCATCACTGCCACGCTAGCAGAGAACAGAGTCCTGCCCAGGAAGAGTTACTGGAGAGATACTTTAGAATTGATGTCTTAATGAATTGATGGGTTAAAAATTTCAAGTTGGGACTGGGGAGATGGCTCAGCTGGTAAGAGTACTTTCTGTGCAAGCGCGAGGACCTGAGTTTGGATCTCTGACACCCACATAAAATCTGTGCATAGCCACACATTCATGCCACTCCAGTGCTGCTGGTGGTAGGGAGAGACAGTAGGATCAGCCAAACTAGCAGAAAAGGACAACCTCCAGGTTCAGTGAGCGGCCTTGTCTCAAGCAGATAAGGCAGAAAATTATCAAGTAGGACACCTGATGCCTTCCTCTGGCCCCTGCATGGTGCACATGGTCATGTAGACCCCCCCCACACACATATAAAGTGTAAAGTTGTGAACTTTACAGTTTGCTCCTCTGTAATACCTAAGACATAGATGTCCTTTTCATATCACTTTGCAAGCATTAATGCTTTCGTGATTCTTGATGGTTTTTTGGCTTCGTGTATTTAATCACGCCAGGTCATCTGAACCTGTCAACACAGTTAAAATATGATTTCTCCAAGTTAAAAGTAGACCGAATACCCACCTTTTAATAAGTTATTGTGTTTACCAAGAAAATTGTGTTATGTTACTCCAGCTACAATGGTGTAACAATCACAGTAGGATTTAAAACAATTTTTTAAGAGTACAATGAAAAATGAGTAAATATCAGATAAAAATAATTCTTCCTTAGAAAAAAACCTATTTTTATTATAATTGAAGGAAACAAAGATTCAAGTAAGGAAGGTCTTCCAATTGGTTAAACAATAAACCCTACTAAGTAGCTAATGCCTGGTCAGTTAATCTGTCTTCCCACCTTAGCCTCTCACCTTTTTTTTTTTTTTTTTTTTTTTTAATGTGGAGATTTTTTTGAATTCTTCATTCCAGCCTCCATGTGACCTGAAAAACAGACTGCTTTCAAATGTTACTGTGATGTTTATCTTACTGTAGCTTTTGTGATTCATCAGGTGATTCTGGGCCAGGACTGAGACAGTGGATCAAGCAGGTTCTAAACCAAGATTTAACATTCCAGCACGTAAAGATTATTTATCCAACGGCTCCCTCCAGGTACACAATGATTCATTTCACTTCTCAGTATAGTGATGGCATAAGGTGTGTGTGTTGTGTGTGTGTGTGTGTGTGTGTGTGTGCCAGCTAGATGTTTTGATGTTTAATTCTGTATATAAGATTCTTAAATTGGGGAACTTGCCCCACCTCAGGAACGCAGGAATGCGTCCTTTACTTTGAAGCTCCCCTCTTTGGCCAGTGATTGCCAGGTGAGTAACTGTCCCTCTGCGAGGCATTCCCTGCAGCTCTGGCTATACTGTGCCCCAGCCCATCGGCCCACAGTTTGCTTCCTCTGACCCTGACCCTGTCCATTTTCCAGACTCCCTCCTTCTTCTCACCCCCCCCATGGAAACTTAATCATATCCACCAATAAAATTTTTCTAATAATTTAGTTCAACCAGAGTTTATAATCCCTGGAAAAGAGTTTTGTGATTCTCTTTCCAAACTTCAAAAGATGTAGATATAATGTTAGGCTCTTTTCAGTAAAGCAGAATATAATTGTGGGACAGATTACTTAACCAATATTTAGATTATGTTTATGTATTTATATCATGTATCATCATGATAGGACTGGTGTAGATTGGAGGGCAGAAATTGCTTTCTCTAAAGAAGCATGCATTCTGTCTTTTATTGTGAGCCTGTGCTTTAAACTGGATTTGCACACTTCCACATAAGCAAAATCGTGCGCATTATACAACCTAACCTGGTTTCTCATTATCCGTTCTTGCTTTGTTTATATTATGTACTTACACAATGCTTGACTTTATTGTCTCTGTCAATTTAGTATTAACGAGGAAAAGAACCAGGACTTCAAGGAAATGAGTTAAGAATTTATTTCTCTCCTTGGTAGACTTGAGAGGTAGAACAAAAATTATAATGCAAAATAGATGATTCAAAAACAGTTACTATTTGAATGCAATTAAGTTTAGAGGTTTGGTATATATAGTCAGACCCACTGACCAATGGATGCTGTTTGTGCTGGGAGGTGACTCTCCTGGCAGTGAACTGCCAATTTGTAATTGGTTTCTAGATAGGTGGAATTCGGAGGGAATTCTTATATTTCTATGGAAATGTGAAGGATGGTGTGTTTCAGTCTACATGTAAATTGACTAAATAATAAGACTTTGAGAAACATGATTCTAAGAATTTAATATTTTTTTCTCTTGAGTTTCATGCATCATTAGTAATTGAAACATGAATTCTGGGTCTGTGTTTCTCAAACTTCAGATCAGAAGTATTTTATAGAATGAATACCCTTAATGAACCAAGTATTAATTGTGGCAGCTTACGCTGGCCTGCAGTAATGTGTTGGGAAGTGTTCCTTCCTCTCCCTCTTGAGTTTGTATTATGACTTTTTTAAAAGATGTTTAATAACATTTAGAGAAATCACCTGAACCTGAAGCTTTGTGTGAAGATATGGATAATGAATTTAATTTTTTTTATGAAACTAGGGTTTTCAGATTTTCCGGTTATTTTTGAGTTAGTGTCAGTGACTTATGTTTTTCAAGGAATTTATGTCTTTGATCTAATTTGTCAACTTCTTTGACATGAAATTTTTCATGATATTTCTTTTTAGTGCTTTAATGATTCCTGTTTATGCATTTTATTTCAGCTAACATAATAATATTTTGTCCTTCATCTTTTGAGGAGGGGTCGTGCTCTGTTTTGTCATGGGTTGCCAGTTTTGCTCATCCTTCTTAGAACCAAGTTAGGCTTTGCTTTTTTCTCTGTTTGGTTGGATTTTGGTGATGGAGTCTTACTGTGTAGTCCAGGCTGTCCTGGAACTCAGGATCCTCCTGTCTCTGCCTCCTTAGTGCTGGGATTTCAGGAGTTTAGCACTTTATAATACCCAGCTCTGTTTTCTCTCTTACGTTTAGGTTTCTGTTTCATGTCTATCTATTCATAAATTTCTTTTCCTCTCCTATTAATGTTAGAGTAATAATTTCTTTGTAACCACTACTCTAGCTGAAATAAATCTCCCTAATTTTTCTTTAGTTTTATTTATACTGGAATGGTCTTTATCACCTTCATGTTCCCAGTATTATTTGGTGTAAAAACCACCTCAAGCAGCGCTTTTATTATGGTCACAAATTTTGTGAGTTAGGAATTCAGAAAGGGCACAGTTGTGGTGACTCAATTCTCTTCTGTTGTTTTTGGGGCCTCTCCTGGGAAAGCTGGAATATTGGGTGTGGCTCAGGACTTGTCTTCTGGGGCCTGAGTCCCTCATCGGCAGGCTTACTCACATAACAGGCACTTAATGTTGGTCATTAGCTGGGACCATCCTGCTGTCTTCCCACTGTGACATGTATGTTGGACATCACCCTTTGGGGTCTTTTGAGTGTATACATGTATGTGTGTATGATGTTTGTGTTATTTCTATGTGTGCATGTGGGGCATGTGGATGCATGTGCATGTGGAGGCCAGAGGTTGAACTCACGTGTCTTCCTCCACTCTCCACCTTAATTTTTGAGACAAGAGCTTTCACTGGATCTGCCTCTCATTGGTTGGCTAGACTGGTTTGACCAGTGAGCTCCAGGGACCTGTTTATCACCCCCAGACACTCCTGGCTTTTACATGGGTGCTAGGGGTCAGGACTCAGGTCCTTATGCTTACACAGGAAGTGTTTTGCTGGTTGACCCATACCCCCAGTCCACCCTTTGGAATTTTGAGCTTTGTAGTATCATCTAGGCAGATTTCCCAGAGCTGATGTCCTCAGAGAACAAGGAAATTGTACTGTCTCCAAAGACCTAGAGTCAGTGATTTCATAGCTAACAGAGAACAGCTCAAATTCAAAGAGAGTATGGGGGCTAGAGAAATGGCCTACCTGTTAGGAGCACTGGCTGCTCTTGCAGAGATCCCAGGTTTGGTTCCCAGCACCCATATGGTGGCTAACAACCATCTATAACCCCAGATCTAGGGGATTTGACACTCTCTCTGGCCTCTGCCGGCATCGCAGACCAAACACTCATAGACATAAAATAAAAATAAATTATAATTCTGGCACATTTGTAACCAGCAAGCTATTGGAACCCTGTTGGAAATGCCCGTGAATTTAGGGTTGCTGTAGATATCTTACAGCTGCTGGTGTCTAATTTCATTTTGCTGTTACCAGCTAATGTTTCCTGCACAATTTCAGTCTTTTGATACTCACTGGGGGGTTTTATAGCCTAATACACAGTCTGTCATGGTGAGTGCTCTTGGGAATTTTTTAGGTACAGAGTTTATAAAAATATCAGTAGCTCAAGGTGGTTGACAGTATTACTTAAATTTTGTAATATGATTTTGAAAAATATAATTTTGAAAGTAATTTAAAAGTAATTTTGAAAAATACTTATTCTCAGTATTTTTAAGTGCTTACCAAAGAAAGAGTTTTTAAATCACCAGCTATGATTTTAGATCACTCCATTCCTCCTTTTAATTCCATCAGTTTAACTTAATCTGTTCTTAATCTGTGTTATGAAGTGCATGTGGGATAATTATTTTCCTTATTACTACCTACCTTTCTTTTACTAACTGGTCATTTTTAATTTCTGATAACATCCCAAAGTGTAATTTGCTCAATAATTATATAGCATGCATCAGCTTTCGTGTGCTTATTTTAATTATTTTTCATCTCTTTACCGTGTTTTTATTAGTGTACATAGTGTACCTCTGTATTTTTACTTTTAGGCTGTCTACATCGATTACATTTAACGTGTGTTTTTTATAGACACATAGATGGGCTTTGTTTATTTCTTCAACCAATCTGGCTGTTTCTGTCTTTTAAATGATTTTTTAGCCATTTACATTTAATGTAACATTGAATTTATAGGTTTGAATTTAGATCCATTGCTTTTTTTCTCCCCTATATTCTGTTTACCTCCTTTTTGAACTATTTGAACTTCTTATTCAATTTAAATTATCCATTCCTTTTCTTATTGTAGTAAGACACAATACATATTGCAAACATTTCCCCATCTTAGAGTAAATTGTACCACTTTAACTGAACCATAGAACTTCCAATTACATAGGTCACTTTTTTCTCTTCCCCCTTGTATTTATCTTATGTATTTCATCTGCATATGTTAAAAACCACCAAACAAGGTTATAATTTTTATTTTTCTATAGTTATATATACATTAAAAACATAGAGGGGAGCAGTGATCTCTTGTTTCTATAATGGTCTATCATATTTTGATTAAACTGAATTACTGTTTTGTTTATAATATTCTTTTTCCTCCACTATAAGTCAGCTATGCAAAAGTGTAGTAAGTAGAAGTCAACAACAGTTTTCTGTGCTGATTAAAATGGGAAATATAGCTGTATTTTTTCATTATGTTAATTTGACCTCTGTAATTAGAAGTAACTAATAAAGATTTTTATTTTTGTGACATGTTTTAACTGTATTTGAAATTGCTATTAGAATTTCCATTAAAAACATAACAAATATTGGCAATCCATTTATAATTGTAATGATACACTTTCTCTTGGTGATCTAAAGTTTCCAAAACTATTCAGACTCGTGTATATCTGTACTTTTTTGCTTCACCATCTTCCCACACAGTGTGGTTACTTATAATTTTCAGTAAATATATACTCTAAAGTAGGCTTAGCTACTTTTAAATTTTATTGATATTTTTACATGTTCACGTGAGGGGCACATTTGTAAGAGTGTGCACATGGAGGCCAGAGGTCAACCACAGGAGCCTTCAGTTGTTACCCACCTTGCTCATTGAGCCAGGGTTTCTCATGTCTGACTGGCCAGTGAACCCCAGCGATCCACCTGTCTTCACATCCTCAGAGCTGGAGTTACAAGTGGGCTCCACCATACCTGGCTTTATTACATGGACTCTGGAGATGGAACTCAGCCTATGAGCCACTTCCCCAGGCCAAGTGAAGTCCTTTTTGCTTAGGCATAGTAAACTGTGGATTTATGAAACACATCAGGAGACTGCCGGTCAGGACTACTAACAACAGTTATTTTCTGAAAATAATTTGCGTCTGGTAAGCTTTTTAACTGGTATATTTAAATATTGCTTAAAACTTGTTTTATTGGAACTGTGGTTTCTTCTTTAAGCAACAAAAGAAATTATGTTAGGTCTTTTATATGTAGAAGTCAAAACTTCAAAGGTCAGATAAAGTAATTTTATATACTCTGCTGTTTCTTACTGAAATAAACCACACTAAAGTGGCAGATGATTATTGATATCATCCAGCAAATGATAATGTAGCACCCACTGTGCGTCAGGTTTTGTTCTTGACTGTGGAAGTGATAGGTTTTGCCTTTGGGGAGTTCATCTACAGACTAAATATAAAAGGGAAAATATTATACTTTCAAATAATGCTGAATATGAGACAGTTGAGTAAGGTATTGAGACGGAGTCTATGTTGCAGAGTAGAGGGGCCATGGGAGTCAGTGAAACTGCTCTGAGGAGGGGACATCTGCGCTGTGACCATCAGTGGGAGCTCACATGCAGAAAAATGGGAAGAGTATTCCAGGCAGACAGAGATCCAACGCAAAGCTTCACAGTCACTATGGAGCTGCTCCAGTGTGACTGTCCCAGATCATGCTGGGGACGTCAGGACACTAGGACAAAGCGGATAACCAGAACCAGAACCAGACTGTTATCTCATAGGTTGATATGATCTCTTAATTTTTAGGGGCACACAGATCAAAACAAAACTGGTTATTAAGTGGAATGTCTTCTTATTTTTTTAAAAAAATGAACTTTGGACATTTCTTCTAGTCTAATAGTTTACCAGTGTGGAATGGGTTGATTGATTGATTGATTTAGGAGTGCACAGATGTTCTTTGCTGAACATAGTTGTTTACTATGGTAATGTCTGAGCTGTTTTACACCAGCTAATAAAGTGATTTATTTGAGGAAGAAAGTGAATGAATATAACACGTGTGCCAGGTTTTTTAGCTGTTTAAAAAACAATCTTTTATGCTTTATTTAAAGGTTATTCTAACATCTTAGGAGATTTATGTACTTTTGATTTTTTTTTAGCAAAAATGTTTGAAAGTCTTTGTGTCCCATTAAATTATCCTGATTACTCCTTTTGAACAGAAAATTTTAATTTTCTTAGAGAAACAAGGGACCAAAAAGCTCCAGATGAGTAAATTGGGATTTATGTTGGGGTCTTACCTCTGTGGAGCATCTATCTAAAGTCATTAAGTGAGGCATTGCCAAAGGGAAAATAGTTAAGTCAGTATCATTTTTTTTCCATTAATGGCTGCGTTCCCAGAATGATTCACATTTTAGCCTATGATGTCATCCTTATTTAAGTGCTTAGACAGACAAATAAACACTTAGAGAAACATCAGAGGCAATTGGAAGTGGGGAGAAGTGCCTCGACAAGCTAGCCATCTGATTGAACGTAGAGCGGGTGTTGTATGTCCACTCTTGAGTAATCCCTTCACTGTGATTTCAGTGACAGTTTAAATGCAGCTTGGGTGTTGATCTTGTCTGATATAGACTGTGAGGAAAGCACCTGCTTTCCTGTGCAGTGGACTTGGAAGAAGTTTGCCTTATGTGTCAGGGACCCCACCTGTCTATGAAAGGTGCCTTTCTCCCTCCTTCCCTCTCTTCTCCTCTTCCATACAGTTACCTGTTCGTATTGAATAAATGAATTTGAACCCTTAAGTCACACTATATATGAAAAAGTTCCCTCTAAATTTAAGGCGTGAAAGTAAAAATGCAACAAAGCCATAAGATAACTAGAAGGCTGTATGTAAAAACCTATGGGTTAGGAAAAAGTTCTTCAATCCAGAAAACTGGAAATTTAAGCATTGAATGAAGACGTATCAAATGTAAAGTCTTTTATCTGGTAAAAGGGATATTTTGTATGCATGCCGATATGCAAGAAATAAATTTGGGATAAAGATACTTGAACACAAAAGACAAATATTTGCTAATACTATACAAGCATTCTAAATTAACAAGAAAAAATCAAACCCCAATAGAAGAAATAGCAAATGTCATCAGTCATTATTTTCATTTCTTTGAAATTTTAGAATAGGCCAAATTAGTCAATACTGATAGAAACACTCAGTGGTGGTCTGTGAATTGCCTATAAGGGGTCAGATGGAGTTTCTGAGCCAAGGGATTGCTCTGTGTGGTTGTAAGACGGTGGTTGCATTGTTAAGATTATTATATATACATACATATATATGAATACTCTTATACATGTTAGACCTCAATAAATTTGATTTTAAAATTTCAGTCAATACATTTAAATGTTGACACTTTAAACTCCATTAGCTCTAGTTCCTTCTTTGTGGTAAAACCATAACTTTTTGGCCTTTATGGAAACAACTTAGAAACATGTATTACAATAGAAATTGTACCATTTAATCCAGCAATCCCAATTCTTGATCTCTGTTCCATAGGGATAATAGTCCCACTACATAAAAACATGCATGTTCTTATTGGCTAGAATCTGGGTTCTAAATGAATGTGCATCCGTGGGAGAGAGGGTAATACAATTGGAAAACACCTTCATCCTAGAGGATAGAATAACCATGTGAATCTGTTGGAGAGGAATGTAGGCTGGTGGGGGAGGGAATGGGAGACGGACAGAACTGCATAGTGTACATGTATGAGATTATGAACAAGCAACGTCGACTGATGGAAGAAGAAGGAAAGACAGGTGAGGATGTCGGACGGGTGTCCGTGCCATGCTGAAGGAAAAGAACCTGACACACGTAACAAAGGCAGGTGGGCGTTTTTCAGCTTTGAAAGGTAATCTTGCTCCAGAGGGAAAAAAAGGTCTGTAAGGTTATTTTTTTAGCATATGTGTAAAGAGTATTGAGAGAGATATTTCCTGATCATTAACTGTTCACCTAATATGGAGAATAAGATTCGTAAGGGAACAAATGAAGAGATCAGTGAAAATTAAAGATTTATGTTTCAGTAGCTAACAGTATATATGTATATATAATACCACAGCTTTCAGGTTTTTATAGGTATACACGGTCGAGAACACCCAGTGTTTATGCACAGACAGAAACACTCAGCATATGCACTAAACATTTAGAAAGCTTGTTGCAAAGTGATATTTAGCGCATGATTCTGTGTGGGAGTCAGCAGAAGCTCCTCTGCGGGATTTTTGTTAGATTTGAGTCAGAGCACCTTTCTCGTTTTAAGGTCTTTCAGCTCCTCCAGAAAACTTTCCAAATTTAGTCTCTTGACTCTCAGCCTCCCAAATTGAATATTCCCTTATTTTCGAGTAGCCTATCAAAATGGAAAAACAGTGGCGAGCACCACCCATTGGCTTGAAGGTCCCCATGATGAGCACAAGCTTTTTCAGGTTGCTGGCTGTACTGCAGTTCACCTGGGCTTTTCAGTGGAGATGCAGAAAGTGTGTTTAGATCTCAGCTGGGGTCTGTAGCCTCACGCTTCACTTCTTTAAGCTACACGTTTCATGCTTTGACCTCCCTGGCTTTGGAGACTTACATGCTCAGTTGAATCTGAGATGGCAGTGTAGAAGGGGTGTGGATGTATATGCCCATGTCTGTGTGCTCAAGGAGAAAGCGATTGGTTTAGATCCTTCCAGTCACGATGGGTCTTTTGTTACTGGCCAGCTTTGCTATGGCATGCTTACATATAAAGCAAACCATGTTTTCAAAAATTAAGAAAAATAGAGCTTGCCCAGTGATAGGTAGCATCTCTGGTCCGACTCCCTGTCCCTTACCTTGGGCAGCCCTTCTCCCATGTTTTTTCAATGGGATCCCCTGCACTTCTTTGTGGTACCCTGAAGTGTCTCCAGGATTTTCTTCATTCCCCTTTGATTTACCTCTGCCAACACAGAACCTGAGCACAGAACCCCTTAACCGCATTGTAATTGTTAAAATGGTATTTGTAACACTCAGATAACATACATGTATATTATATATTAAATTAGCATTGTGCTGCAGAGCTTTGATATAGATAAATGGGCTAAGATTCATAGCACTGTAATTGTCCTACCTCCTAAAAATAAAAGTTCAAGGGACAGGTGAGATGACTCAGAGAGCAGGGCATGACACCAAGCCTGAAGACCCTGGTTTTATCCCTGGAACCCACGTGGTGGGAGGAGAGAACTGACTCTTGGAAGTTGTGCTCTGACCTCCACACAGCATGGGTTGTGCCTCTCATTCATTCATAGATAGACAGACAGACAGACAGACAGACAGACAGACAGATAGATAGATGATAGAATAGAATATGATAGATCAGATTAGTAGATAGATGATAGATAGATAGATGATAGATAGATGATCGATAGATAGATAGATAGATAGATAGATAGATAGATGATAGATAGATAGATAGATAGATAGACCTCTCCCCAACAGATAAACTCTCCCAAATAGATAAGTAGACAGATAGACCGATCTCTCCCCAATAGATAGATTGATAAGCCTCTCCCAGATTAATAACTATAAAAACTAGACAAGTAAAGATGATGAGTCGACTTTAGTATATGTTAATAGAGTAAATATGACTTGATGTAATATGCATGGGGCATTTCTCCTATGAATTCTTTAGCATACAACTCAGAAAAAAAATAATCAGTTTAGTACAGTAATCTTTAAGAAATTAAAGCAGCCATTCTAATATTCTTTCCTCTCTTTTGCTTTTGTTTGTTTTAAACAGGCCATACACTCCTTTGAAGGGAGGAATCTCCAATGTGTGGTTTGACAGATTCAAGATTTCTAATGACTGCCCAGAGCACCTTGAATCAATTGATGTCATGTGTCAAGTGCTCACTGGATTGATTGATGATGAAGTTAGAAGCGGCATCCAGAAGAACAGAATTTTAATAGGTGAGGCCTTAAACATTGGTGGCATGAATTTTTTAATTTGTGTAATTACATGCATCAGATTTTTATTTTGCAGCATTCCATAGAAGTACTTGCATATTGTTTGACCCATTCACAATTTTAGACAAACTACATAGTAAGATTTTCAAAACTATGAGAGTTGTAAGCAACAGCTCCTGAAACCTTCCTTGATTCTCTTTTTCAATAGCCATTTATCTTGCCTCATCTGTTTTTTGGGACAAAGTATTTCTTTATAACCAAGACTGCCCTCACACTCCTGATTCTCCTTCCTCTACCTCCCATGTGCTGAGTTATAGGCCTGTACTACCATGCCCCGGGTATTTTGCCATTTTTAATGACAGCTAAAATTCTCCTAGTTTTATTTTTTACTAATATTATTCATTTCAATTTAAAAATATTTTTATTTAGCAGTGCTGATGTCTGAGCATTGAACTACTCTTGTATATCGATTGCAATGTCAAATTTGTGACAATTAAATCTTCTAAATGAACAGTAGGACATTTTGTTAAACTTGTCTTAGTGAGTCGTGTTCCGAAGGTCATATAAGAACTTTATGTAAGCTCTTTAGTAAATACTTTTTCTATACTCATCAGATACACAACCTAACAAAATTTCCCGAATAAATACAGTAATATATAGAAAAGTGAAATGAGATGCACAGAATGTGAATTGATATAGGACATTTCGGTGAAAGTTGCATTTGCAAATGTAACCGATCTGTAATAGCTGTATTGGATGATGAAGTTAGAAAGCAAATTAAATATCTCCACAATGTGCCAAATCACAACAAAACACATGCCGAATCTTTTAGAGACTGGGTTTGAGTACCTTACTACTACCCATGTCCTCGGTTGTCCACTGAGGTTCTGAACTGTTGGGTGAGTCATTGTAGCATAGTGTGGTGAATGGGTCCATTCTGTCTGCTCACCTTCCATTTCCACTGTAGTTGTTAAGAGCCTGTAGCCTCCAGTCCAGCACATCCCTCACCTGCGTGATCCTCATTCTCCTTACTTTTGTCTTAGCCTGTGTTGCTATGGTTAGCATAGACGTGCAGCCCCACTAGAGATGTGCACAGAGCATTGTGGGAGACCCCAGAAGAGCAGGGGATGGGGCCCCAGCTCAGCCCAGAAGCTTAGGAAATGGAAGACAGCACCAGGCACAGTGTAAACCACAGGTCTACAAGGGGAATGGTCATGTATTATTCCTTTTAAATTTTCCCCTGAGGATCTATCCTAAGGCCTGGAGCAGAGTACATGCTCAGAAAATCTATAATGAACAGTATGGCCTAATCAGTAAACTGGTGACTTAAGTGACCACAGATGACAGGACCGTAGAGAAAGAGGCTGTTAGAGGCTGATGGGAAGATGGCGGCAGCGCTTGAGGGATATGAATTGCTAGAATTTTAGCAGTTGCAGTGTGTAGGTGTAGGGCATGAGACACATGGTGAAGTAAAAGCAGGTAAAGGAGCACCTATTGTTTTGGTCTGCCTGGCGTGAGCTGCCACAGAGTTAAGTATCTCTCTGACTGGGAAGGCCTTCTGACTATTAACCCCAAAGTACAAGACAGTAGAGCTCGGCGGGGTAGTGGTAACACCAGCGTGTCCAGGACTGAAGGCCACTCTTAGCTCAGCCATCACATATCTCCACACATCCTGCACAGCACAGGTAATAGAACTTGTCTGTTTTGTAGGGGGATGATGCTTGTGTTTGGCTCATTCTAGGCTCTTAGCAAATCTTGTTCTGTCCCCTCTTGACCCTATTCTGTAGGTATAGAGTCTTGTATTTAATTAGAACTTTGCTTTGGGGAATTCATCCAAAAGGAGGAAAAGTTGTAGATGAGAAACCAGTTCTTGAATTTGTCACTTAAGATAATGGAGCCTGAAGGAGTATGGTGACAGAAGGACAGGATGGATGAGGATGAGCACTGCAATGAGATCTTTGTGAGAACCGTGAGGAGTGCTGTGAATCCTGTTCAGGTGGATGCGTGTTGAAGAGCTCGGCACCAGACACGATGCCCCTTGTTTCTTGCCAGGTTCGGGTGGACGCATGTTGAAGCGCTTGGCACCAGATGCTGACGCCCCTTGTTTCTTACCAGGCTTCTTCCCACAAGTCTCCAGATCTGATACTCTGTCTATATCATTTTTCGGTGTTATGGAGACAGTGGACTTTGTTAGGGCTGGATAACCAGTGAGCATTTTTAATCTAGGTTTACTCCATGTAAAAATCCATGGTTGGGGCTGGAGAGATAGCTCAGCAGTTAAGATCACTGGCTGTTCTTGCAGAAGACCTGGGTTCAAATCCCAGCACCCACATGGCAGCTAACAACTGTCCATAACTCCAGTCCCAGGAGTCCGACAGCCTCTTCTGACCCCCACAGGCATTGCATGACACGGGTGCACTTATCTACCTGCAGACAATACACACATACACATAAAATAAAAATAATAAATAAAATTAATTAAAAAAAAAAATCCATGGTTATGGGGGCTGGAGTAATGGTTCAGTGGTTAAGAACACTGGTTGTTCTTGCAGAGGACCCAGGCTTAGTTCCCAGCACCCATGTGGTGGCTAACAACCATCCATAACTTCAGCTCCAGGGGATCCAATGCTCTGTGCCTGACGCTGGTGCGCTTCCATACATGCAGGCAGTACATTCATACACAAAAATAAAATAAAGCACGCTTTAAATCCCAGCACGTGGGAGACAAAGGCAGATGGATCTCTGTGAGTTCGAGACCGGCCTGATTTACACAACGAGTTTCAGGCCAGCTGGGGCTACAGGAAGATCCCGTCTCTAAAAGATAAATAAACAAACAAACAAACAAACAAACAAATAAATAAATAAATAAATAAATAAATAAAAATGTAAAAGTCTATGATTTAATTAATTAATTTAAAGCCCATGATTCTTCCATTAAACTGAATCTTTTAAAGATTTCTTAATACTTTTGAAAAGCCTTCCACAGTAGAATTATACAGTATCTGTCCCTACCACCTGTGTTAGAATGTCTTCCTTACATCTGCATTGACTAAGCCAGGCATGCACATTTTTGCTAAGGATAAGTTTAAACAGGTAATGGTGACTAGTTTTAATTTGCATTTCATTTTCTCTCCTCCCAGTTATATTTTAGTTTCCCACTAAAGGCTTCACTTCCAACAGAATCTATTAGATCTAATGTTTTTTCTACAATTTATTTTTATATTTAATATTTTGTTCATCCGGAATTTAGTTTCTTTTTCTACCATTACAATGATTGTTTAAATTATTTCCTGTAGCAGCAAAAGAAATGTTAAAGATTATCTTATGTGTAATTCTAAGCCACTTAGTCACCAAGTCAGCATTTTATCCAGGTTCCTTCCACTGTATCGGAAAAAGATGTGTTTGTGGAAGGGTTATAGATTCTCTTCTGCAGTTATAAAATTTGAAATTTATAATGAATCCATAACAATATATAGAAAAGTGTGAGTAAAAAATCTAAAATTGAGAAAGAAAAGGTATGTCTTTAGAATTGTCAGATGAGCCAGGTAACTTCAGTGAAATGTCTTTCCCACCTTGAGAGACAAAGAGAGATCACAGAAATGTAGCTACAGCCCTGTTGGTCCCTGTTAATTATCTAGTTCATTTTTTGACCAGCTGGTAAAAGTAAGTCTTTTGTAAGAGCGCTATGTAGAGGATGCATGTCTCATAAGATGCACATCATTCTTGACTTCTTGTACTTGGAAAAAATCAAGCTGTATCAGCCCCCTCTGTGTGCTGGATTCTTCCCGTACATTAGTCATTTATGCAGGAAGCATGTGCCAATGTACCTCCACATGAAGGCTTTGTTGTAGGTGTTTGAACTGCTGATCTAGCTGAAATCTCTCCTATATTCAAAAGGTACAGAGGTGATTCAAAATTATTTGTACCTGCAGCCTCTGAGCCAAGAACACCCCAGTGGCAAACACACTAGCACAGCTGACAGCACGTAGCACAGGGAAGAACTCAGCTCTGCGCTTAGACTCCTGACTTCCCTTTTGTAGGTGTACCGGTCTCCATAAGTTCTGTGTCCTGGATGGTAGTTGGATGTCCCTGCCATGTGGAGCTCAGATAGTCAAATGTGCCAGTTTATAATGAAATACTTAGAAATGTATCCAGCTCTTACTGCTTGAAAGTTATCAAAACAAATAGTTGTAAGAAGGTAGAAAACTCTAAGATTTGAGAGGAATAATATGAAGGTAGTAGGTAAAAAATCGTTCTCCTCACTCTGTGTGGTGGTCATTAGGGCCTCGATTTAACATCAGATGATTTGTGTTACTAGCAGCATGCATGTCTCAGATTACAATTGTAACCTTTGAAACTTTGTAAAGAACTAATCTAGATTTGATGCACATGACAGCCTGTTCTTTCTGTGTTTAATTTGGAATGGTGCTGTTCTATTCTTAAACTCAGTGTTAGAAACAGATCTTTGTATTGACTATGCTCTGTCACCTTTTCCAGGGAGTCTGTCTTAGGATGAAATGATATTTACACTAAATGTTATTGTAAGTTGTTGATAACAGTGCTGCAGTATTAATGCCTCAGGAAGTCTAATGGGGATGGAGCAGGCATTTCAGAAAGCTTAGACACACTGTACATGGAGGGCTGATGAGTATGCAGGTTAGACCGTCATGTATGAGGCTGATAAATGTGCAGGTCAGATCACTGTGCTGTGAAGAGCTGATGAATAGGCAAGTTAGAACATTGTGCTGTGGAGGGCGCATGAATGGGTAGGTTAGATCACTGTGCTGTGGAGAGCTGATGAATGTGCAGGTTAGACCAGCAGGAAGGTAGATGTACTGGAGGAGTGCACTCATGCAGCATTGAACAACACACCAGGGTTTAAGAATGCAGGAACAGAATTGTACTAAAGAAAATTACAGTTCACTGTGCAGTAGGCTATGAAAAGTCTTCATTTTCCAAGTTTTATATAAAGAACACGCAGTTTTATTAATAGAAAATATTAA